GCAGCGCGAGGGCGTTGAAGCCTCCATGGGAGCAGAGCGGCGCGTGGAGCCTTCGTGTCCGGCGCGCTGAAAAGCCCCTCTGTCCCCACTGCGGAGTCGTTTCTATTATTACTATTTTTACTTATTTATGGAAGCGTATGATGGAAGTCTTAAGACTGTGCATCTCGTTCCCTCAGCCAAGTGTTCAGATGTTTTAATATCTGTAGTTAAGACTTTCCCAGTTTTATTGCTAAACTCCTCTCATTTTCCTGTGTGTGGGTATAGTGTTTTCTAATTCTTAAACTTTTTGGTTGTACTGATATTCCTGAAAGTGTGTTCTCTTTTTTTTTTCTCTGCTTGACATACTCACTCCCTAGAAGAATGCATCAGTTTTTGATGTTTTCCATGGCCCCAGGCTTTATCTCTGGCAGTCACATTTGGGTTGCGCTCAATTTTCTTCCCGCTTTATATTTTAGCTCACCTAATACATAGAATTTTTACTCGGGGTATCAGATGCAAGAGACGACTTGTACCTGCAAGATGCAAGTGCAGAATAAACAAAAGAAGGTGCTTCTTTGTACACAGATAGTTTAGTTGTGGGCCTTTATGTTGCAAGGTTTTGTGGATGCTAAAAGCTTGAGAGAAAAATGGTCAAATTCGTGGAAGTTGGTCCTTTAGGGAGTGGTCAGCTCCTCCATGAGCACAAACTCTTAGAGGTTGTGACAGGGTGCAGAAGTTTGTGAGCTTGTCATCCTCCCTGGGTATCTGTGTGGCGCATCAGCTAAAGAGACCTTTGTCTGACCTCGAGTGGGTATTTCTCCTTCTACAGTGTGAATTTTCAGTGTTTATTTTTGAAGGGGAATATTAGATGATAGCAGTAGAGTGGATAGATTTTCCTTTTAGGGGAAAAAATGCTGTATAGTGAGTGCTGTTTCAGGCCTGAGAGCTGTGATTCTGGGTTCTTGGACACTGCTGCTACATTTGGACCTTTTAAATTCTCTGTTATTTGGAAGTTACACTTTCGTTGTTCAGGCTTCCCAGGTTTTATTTTTCAAAGGAAAAGGCCAGAGGTGTTATAGAATAAAGTTAATCCCTATGAGTAGAGACTTGCTATTCATCATCTCATAATGATTTTTGTAAGGGTGAGAGGACTATTGCTCATTTCTCCATTTCTTTTTCAGAAATCAAAAATAGACACAGAACCCTGCTTTAAAAAGGAAAAAGGTTTAAAATATTTATTTGCGGGGGATTTTTATTTTTGAAAGCAGTTAATGACAATCTATCTTTGCTTTCCTTATACAATTTTTGGGTATAGCATACTTTCCTATTTCAAAATAGTTGTCTTTTGTGCTGTGTTTATAGCCCCTTCAAGAAAAAAAAGCCCTTGGTGTTTTCTTTACAGTCCCAAGGGGCAGAAGCTTAATGGTTTTCTTCTAAAAAAAACCATACTGTTGGCGCCTTACTTGTTGAAGGAAATGACTGATATGACCAAAAAGTAATTTCTCTGGGTGATGTTCCCTTTTTTTTTTTTCTCAGATTATAGAGGGCAGCAAGGGTAATCAAGTACAAGAATGCATGAGTGTTTTCTAATTAGAGTTTGATAACGATGCTTCATGTTTCAGGGCAAATGACCCAGCTTTGTGAGTTGATCAATAAAAGCGGAGAACTGCTAGCAAAAAATCTCTCCCATCTGGATACAGTGCTTGGTGCCCTGGATGTGCAGGAACACTCGTTAGGCGTTCTTGCTGTCTTGTAAGTGTTGCTTTCCTTTAATTACATCTCTTGGTATCAAAACCTCAGGAAACATCGCAAACTGTCCGCACAACATCTTTCTTTTGGACAAAAATATTTTCGCTCCACACTTCTTATAATGGTGCTTATTTTCCTTGTATGATGCACGCTTTATAAGAAAGAGTACTGGGCAGGTTTGTGCTTTCAAAGGAAAGAGATTCTGGACCTTATAAAATACTGTGCCTGTTGATTTTCTTTCTTTATTTTTTCCTTTATCTACTTGTTTATATCTGCATAAGTCTTTTTCCTTACATGTTCAGCAAAAAGACATAACGCTGGCGTTTTCATCTATTAGTATTTTTATCTGATTGGCAGGCATTAGTGAACCAGACTGCAAGACTTCCAGAAGAGACAGGGAAAGGGAGACAGCACTTAACTAGGACAGTCTTACCCTTGTGAGGACGGGTGCTTCACAGTCTAGGTAGCTTTGAGCTGCACATTAGAGTGTGCAGCAACTTCAGTTCCTGCAGGATTGGATACCTTCCAAGAACTTTGAATAGATTGTTTTGCACGTTTTTTGTGACTTTTGTAGGATGCATAGCAAAAGATTTCATTGCAGTCAGATGAGCATCATCGTAACTAACCTTAGGGAAAAAGCAGTGTGCAAGTGTTCAGGCTACAGAGTGCTAAGGATCTGTCGGACGTGAAGAGAGACTGGAAATGAACATCAGGAGCTCTTCGGAAGAGGTTCACATCTAATAATTTAACAGCAGAGCACATTCAAGCACTCCAGCACATTCAAGCAGGAGATGATACAGAAGAAAAGGTGTCAGGAGAAGCTGTGCATGGCTGAGTGTTACATTTCTTCTTCTTTCACTCATGTTCCTATTGTAATTACAACTACTATGTCACATAAAATCATTCTTCTGTTTGCCACAGTTTGTTCTTAATTGTAGTTTTCACTAGGTGCAAAACAGAGGTGTGTGCTGAAAAAAAATGTTTTTAAATATTGTGCAGCTCTTGAGGAAATCCATGTTTAATGTGACCTGAATGTTTTTCCTGAGATGAAGTATGTAGTCCTGGAGTGCAGACCATATGCCACTTGTAATACACACTTTGGATTTGTTTCCAAGCAGCTTCGTGCATCTGCAGAGACTTAGTGATGAAGATGAAGTTTTCTTATTCATCCCCCAAAGTGAAGTGTTAAACCCTTCTTTTCTTCTACCTTGTTTTAGGTTTGTGAAGTTTTCTATGCCCAGCATCCCTGACTTCGAAACATTATTCTCACAGGTGCAGCTTTTTATCAGCACTTGTAATGGGGAGCACATTAGATATGCAACAGACACTTGTAAGTTAATCTCACTTTGAGAGTCTATGCAAATCTCTTTACATGCTGTGGTATTCTTGATTTTCACTGCTGTTTTTTCTCTTTTTCTTCTCCCCTGTCCCTTCCCTACTTGATTCAGTTGCTGGCCTATGCCACCAGTTAACAAATGCCCTTGTGGAAAGAAAACAGGTGAGCAAGTATCATCTGGTATCAATAAGCTACCTATATATCCAGTCCCCAAATGTCTTTGTACAGATTTGCCAATAACTTTATTTTAGGTATATTTATGAGCTCCTTTTTTAAAAGTCTACTAAAATGTAAAAAACCTAAAACTAGATTGTAAGGAAAAAATAATATAAAGTTTGTTGGAAGAGTCATTTTAAGCACGCACACATACACACACAGTGGCAGTGCCAAGAATGTTCTTCAGATAATATGTACATGAATAGAACAGAGCTGCAAAAATTGCTGGTAATGGTGAGTCAGTGTTACTAATTTCAGCATTATCCAATCAGCCAGGTAACATGCTTAATTAAATGCCTTAAAATGAAAAGGAAACTTGTTTTATAAAGTTTGAGTAATGATTTTGATACTAAGAAACATGCCTTTTTTCAGAACGTTTTCATTGAAATCTAATTTGAAACAGAGGTCAAATCTGCTCCAACTGAAGTTACTGCTTTTGATTTGGGACTTCACAAGGTGTTAGGAAAAAGGTCTCTTATCAATAAAGACTACTGTATTTCTGATGAGGTTGCCTTTTTGGAGCAGAATTGCTAACTTTTAGTTTATCAGGAGAAGTTATATAGCCACGGTTAATTTTATTTTCTGAGAGTGCAGTATCGTACAAAAAGGGAACAACCTCAAGTTAACTGTTACTTAATGGAACCTATCAATTAGTGTTATTTTTCATTTGTAAGTGTCAACATAAGATCCAATGTGCTGCCATCTATGAGAAATTATCTGAAAGAGATGTAATTTCTGACAGCCCCTGCGAGGAATTAGCATTCTCAGACAAGCCATAGACAAGATGCAGATGAACACAAACCAGCTGACCTCAATACATGCAGATCTCTGCCAGGTAAGAGTAATAATAGGACTTATTCTGAGTATAAGCTTCGAAATGCCCGCAGACCTTTAAGGAAGTGCATGTTTACCTATGGCAATATGAAAGTAGTTTTTAATTGCTTTTCTCGCTAATAAATAATGCTATCCTGAAATAAAATCCTCTTTATTTTAAATGTTCAACGCATCTCCTGAGATGTTTAGCTCTCTTCATCACTTGTGAAAGTCCTTTGACATCACTTCTGTCTGAGCAGAAGGTCAGCACAGCTCTGTCTAGACATAGACAGTTTGAGTGTAAAATCCAGATATTCTTTGCTCAAGTTTGACAAAAGGCATGTTTGTGCTGGTGCCTTTGGCCTGAATTTGCCACTACTGTCTCATTCTTGTCTCCTGGGATTTAGGTTTGGACAGGAATGTTTAGTGCAATATCTAGTGCTGCCAACACATAGTCTGGAAGGCCTGGAGTTTCAAGTAGATTTGTCAGAGTACAGTTTCTTTAGGATTTAGATAGTACTGTTTGCAACTAGTATAAACTATGGATTCTTCAAAGATCATGATATAATGAATAGTGTGCTATCTGACTTAGTGTAAGATTCATTAAATAGTGCTAAATGAACTTAGGTTCAATTTCTTCCTCATTCAAACTTGAATGCAAATGGCTAATTTATGAAAATCTGGTTTATTTTTCTTGTAGCTCTGTTTGTTAGCAAAATGCTTTAAACCTGCCCTCCCGTATCTAGATGTGGACATGATGGATATTTGTAAAGAGAATGGGGCATATGATGCGAAGCACTTTTTATGTTACTACTATTATGGTGGGATGATATACACTGGGCTAAAGAATTTTGAAAGAGCACTCTACTTTTATGAACAGGTAATGTTAAATTAAAATAAGTTTATAACGTGGTCAATTGAAGGGCAGAAATTGCTTGGGTAATAGCACTGAGAGAACGTATCCTTCCTGAATTGCTGGCAAAACCTGCACTTATTAGTGCCATGTATCTAATATAAAGTTATTTATATAACCAATTGTTATTTTAGTTCTTTACCTTTTAGGTTACAGTTCTGTTAGCTACAGTTCTGTACAGCTGTTCATCATTTGCTTTGGTTTTGTTTTTTAACATGTAAATCATAGTTATGCATAAAAATTATTTGGGATAGTTTTTATTTATGAGTTGCTTTATCAAAGACACAACCTTAATGGTTCTCTCTGAAATGCATTAAATGAGGTAACAAATAATGACAAGCTGTGTTTAGAAATGTTTTCCCCTAAGAAGGTCTCTTAGAGTCAAGTAACTGTTGCACCATAAAACCGTGCCAACACAAAGGTTGATGTTAAATTTATCTTGCTGTAAATATTTTTCAAATGCCTGCTTATTGCTGTTTGCATAAGAAGTAGTTCACAGGCCGACATTCAAAATGGTGTGTTTTCAATTAAAATGAGTCGAGTGCTTTTGTTTCCTGAGACCTTTCCTAATTTTGAGGGAAGTTTATAATATTTGCTGCTTTTGTTTTCTCTGTGGAAGAAAATACAACTGTGAAATTGGGAAAAAAGTGGAAAAATGCTGTCAAATGCACAAAATAAAGTGGTGTGGCATTTTTATTTTCTACAGACAAAGGTGAGCTCTTAAGAGCTGGCATAGTAAACTAAAATCTCTTTCCCCTATCTTGCAAGCCTCTTCCAGCATATTTAAATCTGAGATCTCATGATGTAATATACTAAACTCTTTAAGGATCCTGCGGGATCTGGATTATCCTTCCTCGTAGCAAGTAATTGCAGGTGATTTCTAGTACAATTTTAGATACATATGGAGGAAGGAAGTTTTGCTTTGATCTCAATGGGGCTATTTTAGGATAGGCTTCATCCTAGCAAGGTACGTGTTTTTAAATAGTTTTGAATGTCATTTTTGACATTTTTGGATAATTTTGACAGAAGTTAGGCTTTAATGCTCAAAAGTGATTTTTCTTATGTCATTGTGCCCTTTGTACGTGCAGGTTTAAACTGAGTTTCTACGCAAGCAAAACCTACCGGGCCCTACCAGGAAGCATATTGATTTTCTATTTAATGTCTTTCTCTCTTGCTCAGGCAATAACTACTCCCGCCATGGCAGTCAGTCATATTATGTTGGAGTCGTATAAAAAGTATATTCTAGTTTCTTTGATACTACTTGGCAAAGTTCAACAGCTACCAAAATACACTTCCCAGATAGTTGGTAGATTCATTAAGGTAAGTCTTGTGAATAGAGCTAATAGAACAAGAAATCTGAACTTTTGTGGGCAAGAATTTTTGTACCCTTGCCTTATGGTACTGTTTAATGTTTTGGATCATGGGAAGTAATGCAGAACATAGCCTAGAAAGACAGTGCCAAGTGTCTTTCTGGTATGAAAGGCATGGCTAAGGCTTGTTTGTGTGGCAACTCTTAAGTCTGTCTCAAAAATGTAAACTATATTGTTCATATTGACAACACAGTTTTTTAAACTTAAACTGGCTTGAAAGAATTTCATAATTATAACTATTTTGTTCCCTGATAATGTATATATGGGCTTTTACCTTTCCAGAGCACCAACAAGTCTCAAGTTGCACTTGGCCTTCAATGCGTAGTGCCCGTGTTCTAAAAAAGTCCAACTGTAACTTCATGTAGCTGAAGTTGATACCTTATGTAGCTGGTGAACTGCTCTAGGAAATGATCCTTAAGCCAACTATTCCATGTGACTGCTGGAGGGGAAAAAAAACAACTGTCTGTCCTCAGCTCCAGTTATTTCCCCATCCGCAAAAGGAAAGCAGTACTGACCTTCTGGGAAAGCAGACAGAAATACATGCACTGAGTTGTAATGGAAATTAAATCTCACATGCAACACTTTCAATATCAGCAGTGAATTAATACTAGTCCGAATTTATATGCCAGCAAAACTAAGAAGAGTTGGAAGCAGTTCTGTGTTTCCTTCATTACTGATTCGTTTGTGGAGAGAGGGAATTAAATCCCAAACCTAGGACAAAATTTTGCACACTTGGTGTTGGATAATTAGTCCTGAAGCAGAGAACTTGTGTTAATTAGCGTTTGTACTTCAAGTGCTCTCAATTGTATGTATAGCAAAGCAGCAAAATTTTAGACTTTAACATTTTTTTTCCACAGTGTAGAGCAAGGTGTAATGCAGATAGAAGTAGGATCTTTGAACATCTATGGCAGTCCTTGCTGCCATGAGATTTAGACTTGAAATGTCTACTTTTCAGTGTTTTGCTTGCTCTGAGTTGGTCAGAGAAGACTTCTCTAATGTTTCTGAATAAGCAGACTGTAGCTTGCTAAATAGAATTAGGGTATATTGAGTTTCTTCCAAAAATAGCTTTCTAAAGAATAAAGTTTCTGAAAAGGCTGAGAGTTAGAGAGTCCATAAGCATTTTAATCAGGTACAGGGTGGAAGAGAAAACAGCTGTCAGAGTTGTGGTCCCATGAACATCACCTACTTCTGAAAGCATGCTTGTTTTAATCAACTCCCAATTTGCTGTTCTGTGTCCAAAACTTTTAAGTTTTCAAAAATCATCATCTTAAGATACTAATATGAAAGCACAACCGACTGATATTTTGAAGCAATTTAGGTGAACTAATCTTTACGTTTTGATTAAGAGTTGACATTGTCCATGCTGTCATTCACTGTAGTCAAGGATGACAGCCTCTTAGAGGGTAAATGAAGCAGAACGGAAGGGCAGTGACCAGCCAGGACTTTAATTATTCTAAATTCAGGTTAATTCATATGATGCTCTTCTAATGGACATTCTTTTTCCTAAAGTTCCATAACTAGAATTATCATGCAGTGGCTCTGGAATATTTTTTTATCAAATTTTACATTGCACTAGTATGGACTGAATGTACAGAGATCAGTCACTGCTTTGGAAGACTTTGTGGTTTTCACATATTTTTTGAAAGAACCCTGAGCTACTTAAAATCACTTTTACATTTGCATGACCTTTTAAAAATTAAAATAGCTATTAGATTTTGCAAGACTGATTGAACTCCATGTTCTTTAAAGAAAATTTTTGTTTCTCTAATTGCAGCCACTTAGCAATGCTTACCATGAATTAGCACAAGTTTATTCAACCAATAAACCCTCGGAGCTTCGAAATCTGGTGAACAAACACAGTGAAACATTCACGAGGGATAACAATATGGGGTTGGTTAAGCAATGCTTGTCATCTCTTTACAAAAAGAATATTCAGAGGCTAACCAAGGTAAGACTTGTGTTTTGTTTTGCTGAGAAACATGATTGAATGATTAGTTTTCCCCAAACAGTGCTGCTCTGAAACTAATTCAAATCAGAGCAAACTGATAGCGTAACAACCTCGCAGGAAAATGGATAAAACTTAAATTTGCTTCTCTGAAAACACTCTGAGTTTTTGAAATGTTCTGTGAGGAAAACAAACTCATTTAGCTACCTGTGTATTATTTAAAGATGGCTCAATGGTTAAAGATGGATACTGCCATGAGTAGCTCCTTTAATCTGAATAGAAAGTGTATGCCTGCTTGTGTGCTTCCTTTTGGAGTCGTACACGTGGAGCTGAAGTGACCAGACTAATCTTTAAAGATGATTGGGGAAGGCTGCTTTTTAGAAAGCTTAACTTAAATGATGTTTGCTGAAGTGGAATTAACTCTGGAGAAAGGCAATCCATGCATCTTTTGAAGTGAATTCAAGAAACAGGCAAGCCTTCTTTATGTAAGAAGATGTGGGAAGAGGCTGGACCCAGTTTTCTGGGAAAGAAGAAAATGCAGAAATGGAATTTCATGCAGAAATGGAATAATGACTCCACTTTGGTACTGCACATGTCTGCAGAGCACAAATTGCTTTTTTTGGGAACTTAAGTAATTTCTTTCTCTGGTGCTTTTGTAAGTAATAACTACAGATTCTGATTGATCCTGCCCACTGGACTTCAAAAAAAAAAGTTATATAGGCCCTATAGGTTTGACTGCGCAAATTGTCAGCATCAGGTTTTGATGGTTTCATACTTTCTACATTTCAGACATTTCTTACATTATCATTACAAGATATGGCAAGTCGAGTGCAGTTGTCAGGACCCCAAGAAGCAGAAAAATACGTCCTCCACATGGTAAGGCCTGTTACTGTCCTAATTAAGAAATGGATCCAAAATAAGAACTTTCAAATGTTTTTATAACAAATGCTCTGAATGCTTGAGGAATGATTCCTTTTGTAGGATGAGAAAGAAGTACTGTTATTTTGCTATGGTGCTCACATTGTTCTCAAAATTACTAAATAAATAGTCTCTGCTTAAAATGAGGCATGCTTCAGACAACTGTGAAGAAATGGAACCCAAGCAAGATAAAGATGATTCTCCAAGCCAGCCATGTCTCGCAGCTACACAAAATACCATGCTTAGATCTAACTTGTTTTAAACCTCTCATTTCAGATAGAAGATGGTGAAATATTTGCAAGTATTAATCAGAAAGATGGTATGGTCTGTTTCCATGATAATCCTGAAAAATATAACAATCCAGCTATGCTTCATAACATTGATCAGGAGGTGAATAATCTTCGAGTGTTTTTTTGTTTGTTTCTTTGCTTTGTGTTTTTTTTTTTTTCCAGTTGGAATTCTATTGAAAAACCCCAGTCCTTTAACCAGAAATCCGCTTGCTGGAAGAAGTCAGGTCACTTTAAATGTAGGGAATCGTTACTCTCATTTCATAGTGCTCATATTTAAATATTTTAGATTTGAAGTCAGTTATTATGCATGAGTTCCCTGTTATATCTTCTGTACAACCTTATGCTGTCTTAGTATACTACATAATGTAGGTGACTTTAAACCAGTCAGTTAAAGGGATTTTGAAAGATTTTTAGACCTCACGGATTAATTCTAGCGGCTGGAGATAAGCTACCTGCAAACCAAGGTGGTGGAAGCCTTGTGGGGCTGTCAGTGGCTTTAAAAGGATTGTTAGGAAGATATGCATCAAAAAGAGAAAATGAGCTAACGCCTTTGTTTGGGAGATGGAGAAGAACATTTTAACTTGGAACTTTTGTGATGATTTGAAGATCTTTCTAGACGGTAGTCAAAAATTTTCTGTACTTTTCCTTAAGATGCTGAAATGTATAGAGCTTGATGAACGACTGAAAGCCATGGATCAAGAGATCACTGTGAACCCTCAGTTTGTGCAGAAGGTAATTGACTCAGTATCCCAGAAAAGTAAGAAAGACAGTGCAGTGAGTATGTGTTACACTGAACATCAGTATTTACTGTGTTGATAATTCCATGTATATGTAACTTGGATAAAGATAATGCTCTGTAAAAGTAAGAAATGTAAGTTATTTCATATGCACTTTATTTTCCTACCTATTAACTTCTAAGCTGTCTGAATCAAAGGTAAATCTTCAGACCTGTTTTTGAAGGAATAATTCTTTGCCTTCCAGAGTATGGGCTCTCAAGAAGATGACTCAGGGACCAAACCATCCAGTTATTCCTGAAATTAATGTTGCTCACCACTCCGCTTTCAAGTAAAAGCTTAAGAGAATCACGCCTGGAATAGGGCATTGAGGAGTTCCAAGAAGAGAGCAGAGAGAACTGAGCTTTGCTTTACACCTGGACATTAAGAAAATAAAAGAACACCCTCTCAGTACTGTATAATTTCAGAAATATGCTCTGCAAAGAAAAAGGAAATCTCAAAAGAAACTTAAGTCTGTTGTGGATTTATTTATCTTCACATTAACATCGTTAATGCATTAAATAATCTACCTTTTGTTTTAAAGGGTTTGAATGTTGCTGTGTTTCTGTAGCAGTCCTTTTCCTCTTCTGCAAAAAAAAAAAGTGTTTATTCAGGGAAGAATACAAGCTAGTGTTGGTTCACTTACAAGAGAATTACTGGTTCATTATTTTGTATTTAAAGGTGGCTCCAAGTGCAGATTGATCGTATGTATGGTGGTAAGGGGAGGGCTGGGGAGTCTGAGGAAAACTCTCTAAGTTTATAATCTGCCTCTGTCCCTTGTAGTTGGCTGCTGTCTAGTAAATATAAGACCCGTGCTCCTCTTCCCCAAAGGGTGAGCGTATTAATGAGTCCTTGTAAGGTGGTTTTGCTGAAAAGCAGAAATCACTGTAGGGCCTCCATATATGACAGCTATTTATGATTTCTTTTTTTTTTTTTTCTTTTTAATTTTTGGTTCACAGTTTTTTCCTAATAATTTTTGCTATTAGATCCAATTTCTTGGACCTAAACAAAAGGATATTTGGAAGATGCAGGTGTTTTAGAGGATGCTAGATCTGAAGTTGTTCGCACTGAAAGAAATTGAAATTCTTGCTCCTATACAATCTGGCGTGAGTTTGTTGGAAATCAGTCTAAGTGTGAAGGCCCTGCTATAGATTCTCTTCTTTGTTCCCAAAGAAAGCAGTTCTTTGTGATAGAATCCTATACAGCTGTCCTAAAAGCGGAGTTTTATTTGGAACTACCATGCTGGAATAACACCTGTTTCTTAAATCACTCTTTCAAACATCCCAACGTTGTCATTGGATTCCTGCAGTGCTTCTCTCTTTGAATGAATGGCCTCTTTATTTCTCTGTAGCTCTTAATGTACTTGAAGATTATTATTGTTCGAGCACCTTCGAAACACTTCATGTCAGTGCAAATCTCCTCCTCTCAGACATAAATAAACCTGTCGTCAAGTGGGAATGTGAGCAGCTCAGCATCCGATGCTTCCTGCTTAAACACCTGAATAGAAGCTGCTCGCTACTGCTGATAACCTGCCAGCTTTGTTCAGGTCCCTAAGTGGGAATTAGGTGTTTCTGGCTCTTGCTGTGTGAAACTTGTATGTATTGAGGTCACTGGTGGTTGGAAAATATACCATTTATGCTTCCGCTGCTGATACAGAACTGTCGGGGTTTTCATTTAAAACTGCCATCATAATTCTAGCAGAGCCTCTGTGACAGTGGTGTGCTCTAATAGAAGTGAAATGTCCCCAGGCTCTTCTTTAGAGGTGAATAAAGTTCCTGAAGTATCAAATAGCAATTTAGTAGCAAACACAGCATAGGTCCATAGCGTTTGTAGCTCACCATTGAGTACTTGTGCTTCCTATTATAGCAGCTTCCAGATTTGAAGGCAACTCATACACCTCATCTTAAAGCAAAATCTTTTTTTTTTTTCATAATTTGCCTTACCAGTCTTGCAATTAAAGGTATTTATGATTTTTAAAGTATTTTCCTAGTTAATCCTGCAGTGATTTCAATGCTGAACATGCTTCTGCGATTTTCTGCTCTGTGGAAGTGTTAAACAAGTGATTCATAGCGCTGCGGGCTCGAGTACGAAGTTGGGCTGTGGAAGCCTTTGCAATCACATGCAGTAGCCACCAAAGTCCTGCCAGTGCCTAACCCCAACCTGCCACGTAGACGTGTGTGTGCGGAGCTCCCTTTCGTCAGCAAGGGATTCCAAGGGGCTTGAGAAGAACCAGAAATGTCCACGTAACATGGCTAAGGTTTTGTAGCACTAGTGCCTGTTAGTGAAGCTGGACATAACTGCTGAAAGCTGTTGCAGTGGCAAATAGCAGTTTTTTTTTTTTCCTTGCTTCCTGATATTTTCGGGTTACATATAATGCTATTTTTCTTAATCTATTTGAGGGCAATGCTTTGAAAGTTGAGAGACCTGCTGAAGTCTTGTGTGTGGATTTTTTTTGTTGGCGGCGGGTTTTTTTCTCATGGGAGTACGTGTGCTGGTGAAGTCTGATGGTTGTGGAAAATCCAAAGCCAGGTCCCGCTATTAGCATCGAGTAGATGGAAAACATTCACCACAAGTGCTTTGCAAAAAGGCTTCTAAGTAGGGATCTGATAAATACATAACATCTGGCATCTGCACCTCTTGAGATCCTCTTGAAACCAAGTCTTCCAGATTTTTAATGGAGTAGCCCCCTCCAGTCTTGGAAGTAATAGCATGGGCTGTGGGCAACCATGAAGCTTTGAGAACACTTGAGCTTTCTGGGTTTAACCTATATCTGCTGCAGGGAAGGACTTGGATTAAGAATCTAAGACCACTGCGTGCTGTGTTTATCTGAACTCGGGATGCAAGAAGCGCTGTGGGTAGTTCTTCTCTTTGTGCATGACTGCAAGGTGCAATCGCAAAGTGCTGATATCTAACTCCTGCGTGCTGTGTTTATCTGAACTCGGGCTGCGAGAAGCGCTGTGGGTAGTTCTTCTCCTTGTGCATGACCACAAGGTGCAATCACAACATACCGCACGCATGCTGATATCTAACTAATCCTATTTTCATGCATCTTAATTAGCCGAGTTATAAAACACAAATATGAAGGCAGCACGAGACTTGCAACTACGCATTTTAGCCACAGGAGGGGTCTCTCATTTGGTTATACCTAGCGGGTGCTGACATGCATGGGATATTTTTTGTTGTTTTGTTTTAAATGCCTTGAAGCTGCTTGTCTGCAACCACCTCTCCTGTCTTTGTGCCCCTGGGGAGCTCTAACTAGTGATCTTTGCTAATGCAACTGCAATGGTGCCATTGCGCCACACACTTTTCCCTAACTCAAGCTGCCTGGTCCTATACAAATCCCCTGCCACCCGTTTTGTGTGTTGTTTTCACAGGTTTTCTGTATAACATAGGAATTATCTTCTGCATGGCCAAACTGGCTGAGGAGGGTAGACCTGAGACGTTGTTCAAATGTACTATTGGAAAATAAAGATAACAAACGAGCAATTCTTCTTAATTTGTCTTAAATGGCTGGTCTGAAAGAACAAGAGGGCAGGTCTGTCTTATTGGGCTTTTGGGGGCATCTCTTGGTCTTGTTGCTTCTCAGGGCAAGTGATTACGGTTGGCCGGAGGGGGACACTCATTGTCTGTTGGGGACAAGGTCTTGGGGACAGATGTGTGAGCTCTGGCAGTAGCTTTTTGGGGGTTTCCTGGTGCATCTCTAGCAGCAATAGCAGATTGCTTGGGCACGAGTGTGCAGTATGTCCTTACAGAGACCTGCTGCTGGCCCTGGCCCAAGATGGGCTAGGGCATGAGATGGACTCGGGATCAAGCATTTGCTGCAAGTGGGGTTTGTTTCGATTCAAATCTCATCTCTCGTAGCATGATCTGCATTGATCTCATTGACCATCTGAGTGTCTTTTTTCCCAACAGAAGTGAAATTTTCAAATCCAGGCACAGTACTGGGATCCAAGGGCACCCCTCCACGGGGCAGCACACTGATTCTGAGGCTTTAAACTGCAGAAATACAGGGTCTACTCCACACAGGGTTAAAATATAGTTTTTTTTCTTTCTTTCTTGTTTTAAATTTTTGATATTTTTCTTCTTGTGGGAATAATACAACCCTGTATGTATCTTAGCCCTGTTTCCAAAAATGCTCTGGCTCTCTGATATTACATGGAGAAAGGCTTAGGTAGTCTAAGGATGACCTGTAACTAAAAGGAAGAAGGGAAGCCAACAACTGCTTATTTTGAAGCCTGAAGGGAAAATTACAACCCCTAGAATGTGGGGGTCACCTTTTTCATTTTTCCAGGGGATAAATGCTGACCTAAGGATGCTGGAAAGGACTGGGAGGGGATGAAACTAAAATGGGCTCGTTCCTTTTACCACAAGGGAGCCGCTTCCTTCCTTCAGCGTGTGACTCTTGGAAAGGCCTGGGTTCGTTTCTAGATGTATTTGTGTTCGTTGTGACAAAGGAAGGGGGATCAAAGGTAATATTTAATGCAGAAAGTCGTAAATCAGCCCCAAACCGGCGCAGCTCACGCGCCCCCTGCAGCTCTGACCAGGACGCATGCGCGATCCAACCTCCCCGCCCCGAGGGGCGGCCGTCATGTGACCCACCCTTGGACTGCACCATCTTCCCCAGGAGGGGGGAAGCGGGGCCGGCTCAGGGCCCGGTGCCTGCGGTGCTGGCAGGAGGCGGCTCGTCCCTGTCTGGTCCCAGGTTTGGAAGCGCTTCGTTGCCTGTGGCCCGCGCGGAGAGCGTCCGGGGGCGGAGAGGGAAGAGAATGTGCTGCAATAGATTTCCCCCCTGTTTTTAGGGTGTGGTTCTGCCCAACGCCTATGAACAGGGCGGCCGTGGACCGAACCATTGCCGCACCGTAGGGGGTCAGGCGCGCCCGGAGCGGCGGGGAGCGGGGTCCGGGATCGGGACTGGTACCGGGACTGGCCGCGGGGGGAACCCGGCCCGGGAGACCTGGGCCGCGCCTGAGGTGCCTCGGCTCTGTGGGTGGCTTCGTCGTCGCGCCCTGAGGTGTCCGCGCCCCGGGGCCTCGGCGTCACCCCCTCGAGGCCTGGGCGGCCGGGCCCGCTCGCAGCTGAGGGGAGGCCGGTGCCGGTGAGGGGGTCGGTGCGGCCGGCTCTGCCCTGGGCCCCGCTTCCCCAGTGCGAGTTCCCTGTGAGTAGCCGGGCCCTGCTTCCCTACGTGGGCCTGGCACCCAGGGGTAGCCGTGGTGGCCCTGATTGGGCCCGTCCTGTGGGGGCCTTGGGGCCAAGGCTGTGCTGAGGCACAGGGAAAAACCCCTTCAAGCTGCTGCTGGTGCCATTTGCTCCTTACACCTGGAAAAAATGAACTGAGCGCAAAGTCCCTTGAGCTGGGCTTAACCCCACGGTCTTGTGGAGGAGAGTGCAGAAGGGCTTGTGCTCGATGGGTCTATGGGGTGCTTTAATTTCTGTTTTGCTGATGCTGTTCGCTGCCTCCCTGCCTTCTAGGAGGCCCGGCCTGCGTGCTGAGCTCTCACTATGAACGCGATCGTTGCCCTCTGCCACTTCTGCGAGCTGCACGGTCCTCGCACCCTCTTCTGTACCGAGGTTCTACATTCGCCGCTTCCCCAGGGCGCCAGCAGCGGGGACATCGCGGGGCAGAATGAGCAGGCGGAGGAGGAAGAAGGCGGCATCCAGATGAGCAGCAGGATCCGCTCGCACAGCCCAGCGGAAGGCGCCAGCGCCGACTCCAGCAGCCCAGGGCCGAAGAAGTCGGACATGTGTGAGGCAAGTGTGTGTTTGTGCAGGCATTGGTGACCTCTTGCTAAACTGCAGGCCTCATGGGGTCTGCAGTGCAAATTGCATTGCTTAGGAGGGAAAAAAAAACAAACATGTGACCTGCGCTTGTATTTGTGTGTGACTACCAGTAATAAAAATACCTGAGGAAACACAGCCCATCGAATGCTAATTGAGGAGCTGCATTCAAGCTCTGACCTTGCCTCAAGCATCCCGTGCCTAGCTTGCTCTTAATTAATGTTTGCATTTGCACCTGTAAATGTAAATATCCCTTCTTCGCCTTAAGAAGGGAAAACGCAGAGGCCTTTGGAAACCTTAGGTAGTTGTGTAGTCATTTACGGTTGGATTTTGCTTTTCTGTCTTCAGGGTTGCCGCTCTCTTGCAGGAGGACATCCCGGTTATGTCAGCCATGACAAAGAGACTTCAATCAAGTACGTCAGTCACCAACACCCCAACCACCCGCAGCTCTTCAGTATCGTGCGTCAGGCCTGCGTCCGCAGCCTGAGTTGTGAGGTAACTGGCTTGGAGTGCAGGCAGAAACCCCCTCTTTGGGCTTATGCATTGCTTTGAATCCAGGATATTGCTTTGCTTAGCCACTCTGTGCAGCCTGGAAAAAAAGGAAGGAATGGAGGTGGAAAGAAAGATGCAGGAGTCTGTTCATTCCAGGACTAGTGGGAATTTTTAAGGCTGATCTTTGATATCCTTGGGGATTTCTTCCTTTCTCCTTGTGATCATAGAAATTTCCCTTTATTGTTTCTGTTCCTATGCATTTTTTTTTCCTTTCTGAGAAAAACCAGGAAGCAGGGAGTATTAAAGAGCAGGAAACTTCGTTCAAGCAGGTTTGTGTGACGTGCTGGATCAGTTTGGTGTATGTGTCCCTCCTTTCCAGGTCTGCCCAGGACGGGAAGGTCCTATTTTTTTTGGAGATGAACAGCATGGCTTTGTGTTCAGCCACACCTTCTTTATCAAAGACAGCCTGGCTCGTGGCTTCCAGCGCTGGTACAGCATCATCACCATCATGATGGACCGGATCTATCTCATCAACTCCTGGCCTTTCTTGTTGGGAAAAATCAGAGGCATCATTGATGAGCTTCAAGGCAAAGCGCTCAAGGTCGGGAGTGAGCTTGGCTCAGATTTACTAAAACTTTGTGGTAGTTTTGAGCTTCAAGGCAAAGCGCTCAAGGTCAGTCAGTGCAGGGAGTGAGCTTAGCTCAGATTTACTAAAACTTCATGGTAGTTGGTTTGCAGGTGAATCAGAAAGCTAATCCAGGTCATTGCAGGCAGGAAGCTCGTTAATGTCGACAACAAGGGACAAGAGGAGAGTTTTGTATCTGGGCGTAGGAGAGGAGGAACAGACTTCAAGTCGATTTAAACCAGTGGTCCATTTTTCACAGCCCGAAATTCAATTCAGAGCACCCTTAGAAATCCTAGTATCCAAAATTGTGAAGAACATTTTGGGAAGCATGGGTGTTGCTTGATCATAATTTTAGTCAGTTTGCGAATAAGATTTTCCTCTCCTCTCTCTTTGCAGTGTCATTTGAGTGACTATATGTGATGTGCTCTTTTGCCTTGGGTTTTCTTAAGCATTTTATTTTGTGCCACAGGTGTTTGAAGCAGAGCAGTACGGGTGCCCTCAGCGTGCCCAGCGGATGAACACGGCGTTCACTCCCTTCCTGCACCAGCGGAATGGGAATGCCGCTCGCTCCTTAACGTCGCTCACCAACGACGAAAACCTGTGGGCATGTTTGCATACTTCTTTTGCTTGGTAATGCCTTTAACGTTTCTGGCTTCTATGATTCCTCCAAGAACAGAAAATTCTTATCTTCTGAAATGGTGGAAACATGAAGTGAGTGTCCAGAGTGTCCAGGTGGCTGTTCCTCAATTAGGAAGTTGCGCTTTGCAGAGTAGTCCCTGAGTGAGAGGGAGTTAAGCATAGAAAGACAGCAGCCTTCTGGTGTTTTTAGGGCAGAAAGTTCTCTTGTTATGAAGTAAATCTCTTAATGTGGTTGCTAATGGAAACCATGTCCATCTAAATGGAATGGCTCTGCAGTATGGAACATAATATGGAAGAAAGCAAGAAAAGACATTCCCGGCTCCAGTCTTGGACCTGGGATTCACACTTGAAGTACAGCAGCTGTTCACCTGGAGGTGCCCTTGTGTTGTGTTACACAGCTCACAGAGAGATGTAGCATTTGGCACGGTAGTGTGTCCGTGAGATTCCACAGCACATTGTTCCATGCCTGACTTGCTCATCAGACTTCCCTGGAAAGATGCCACAGAGAGGGTTGCAACACTGGCATGTGACTTGGATGGGGGATAAGTGTTGCACAAGGTAATTGCAAAACGATAGCCCTTAGAGTGACTGTGTGGCAGTAGCTGTGAGAAGCACTGATGGTTACACGCAGAAGAAAGCACTGAGAAGTGTTGAAAGGAACCATGGAGGGGTAGTGATCAGATTTTTTGTTAAGCTCATTGCACCAAGAGTTTTGTATCCAGCAAGCAGGCTTAATGAGCCCTCCTCTCTTATCAACGTTTCCAGGCTTTTGAAAGCTTGTGGCAGCAGACTTACAGAGAAGCTTCTAGAGGGAGCACCCACAGAAGACACCCTTGTTCAGATGGAAAAACTTGCAGGTGAGACCAAAGTTTCCAGAGCTGGAAGAGCCTTTGAGAACAATGTATATGGTGAAACACCAGCTCCTTTCATCAACATCTTAGGTGTAACCATCTGACTTGCCCTTTACGGTGGTCCATGCAGTATCTGGTGTGTTCTCCTATATGCAGATAACTCTTGTCACAAATGTGAAATCAAGTCCCTTGGCCTCATAGACTCTCTGCACACACATATGTTGTTTCACTTCGGTAGCAGTGATGCATCATTCTGGGTGCCTGGGTTGGCCCTCCCAAAGAATGGCTGTGCCCGGGAGAATTTATAGTCACAAGATATGAAACTTTTTCCTCTGTCATTTTTTCACAAAATTTCTAAAATTAAATGATTATACTTTTTTTTTTTTCTTGCACTGAATTATTTTTTGTAATCCACTTAGACTAGAATTTAGAAAACTTCAGTCATGAGCTTCAAAGGAAGAATAGGGAATGCATAGCTCATCAAAAGAAGAGAGGTATTCTGTAGGTGAAAATTCTATGCAGGTTATCTTGCATCTGAAGTATGAAACACAATTATACT